TTCTGGCATTTGACCAAAAGTTATCACCCTGTCCTTGACTCATGTGGGTCTTGAACTGAGTTTACTGCAGTTGCTATACATAGCAAAGTCCATGACTCAAGCTGCCAGTACACACATCGACCTGGCAACACTGAACTGCCAAGCTTTGTCAAACCGTCACCGGCACACCTCCAATATTTTAGGAGTGAGCCACAAAACTTTTGAAAATGCCTGGGGCCTAATACTGGTGGTTTAAATCTCTTGGTCCAACGTTTATCCAATTGGCAATACCGTAGCTATGTCCACAGATGCTGTTGCACATCGGGAATTGGACTTGCAACCTGCCCCACTTTTCTTCAAGTTTCTGAGTCTTTTGCTGTTTGCTGCTTCCAGGATCCGAACCTGGGACCTGCAGGTAGAATCTCTGCACGCAGAATCTCTATTGGCCACAGTGGAGACTATGGCAATTGCAGACCAATAGGCCAAGATTTTTCCCACTGGCAGGAACGAACCTCGTAAAACTTAATGAGCTGCGCAGCAGAACAAACAAACTTTTCAGCAAGTCTGCTTGAGGTGGAAGAAGAAGCAGCAGGAAGATTGGGTGCAGCCATTGCCAGGCAGTTAAGGCAGTTTACATCACCATTTTCAGTTCTGTCTGCTGCTGTGCATTCGGGGGCGGCTGGGCACCCTTGTGGGCTTAAAACATCAGTACACTCGGGCCTGGAGGCACTGCACTGTGCGCCAAGCTTTGCTGAGCTGCCGGCGGCACACTTCTTTTCTTTTGTGGCTCGCACTGCCAGCCGTTGTGGTTCAGTAGGTGATGAAAGAATTTCTACAAGGTTAGGGTTGTCTACTGGCATTCAGGAATTTCTCTCTTATACGAAAGATCCAAATGTGTATGTTCACTTTCAATTTTCAGCCTTGCTTCCAGTTTCTTTAGGCTGTGCATGTAAGGCATGCATTGTTCTGTACGCTTCTGAGGTTTACCCCGCCTAGACAGGATCTCGCATTACTTACCTAATCCAAATCACAGATGCGCCACCACTTCTGCACGCTCAACAAATAAAAAATCATCGAGCATAGAGCAAGGAGCAACACTCGTCACTTGCTGAGTGGGTCATCGCACTGTCTACATTTCCATTTTGATTCGCAATTGCCATACCAAGTCAATCTGTTCTCAGATGAGGAATCGATTATATCACTCTCTTGATTCGGTTTTGTTTTGATTTCAATACCAAGTAAATCTATGCCAAGCATTTCACCTCCGAGTTCCAGCATTGTTGAAATTTAGCACCTGTGTACCCAAAAGATAGCGGAAGTGCACAAGGAGACATGACAGCTGCAAAACTGAGAATTGAACAGTGGCATATCCAAAGTGTGCCTAACACCAAAACATATGGTCATATTGGATAGCTTCCCTGTTTGACTCTAGGCTCCTTGGTCTCCGTCCCAAGACTAAGATCTCCCCTCCCCTCCACAGAGAGCGAGGGACAGGCATCTTCAGCGACCCGGTGCAACGCTGAATAGCTTCCTTGTTTGACTCTAGGCTCCTCAGTCTATGTCCCAAGACTAAGATCTCATCTTCGGCGACAAGGTGCAACGTCCACGAGAAAGTACACAGAGAACACTTAGCATCCAAACTGCTAGACCACAGCTTCCCTGGGCGGTTGGCCGAGCAAGCACGCACTCACCAGGGCATGGGGAATATCAGTCGCCTTGGCCTCATGCCGACGCCAACCAGCAGCACAGCTCGGAGAGCACACAAACCCGCACCACACCCTTCCAGAAGATATTGGTTTGTTTGCACCTATGCATTCCAAAATTTCCACTTGATGTGACTTGCATCACATGAGCTGGAGCTTCTGTTTGTGGAACAACTTTCTGTGGAAAGAAGTTTAGCCCTATCTCCAGCCGAACCATCATTCCATCTCTGAGTTGAAAAGTCACGTGCCAAAAACAAGTCTTCACAAACACTCTCCTCCAAGCAGATCATAAAGTTCAATTTCTTTACCCTTGCAATAACCCATGCAGTATGCCTCGTGGAATGTCTACGGGCCTCGCCAGGCAAAAAATGACTCCTACGTAGATTCAGGGCCTGAGCGGGCGACAGTTGACTAAAGTCAACTGCCTGACGCCCAACAGTCAAAGTCAAAGTGGACCCAGCCCAGGCCGTTGGTCAGACGTACACACTTGTTTGTATGCAGGTACCCAGACAGCATCAGGACCAAGGGGAAGTCTGCAACTGTACACAATCCAGGCCCTCGGCTGTGAGTCAATCTGTACAACTGTGGGTGGGAGACCTGAGGCCAGACTGCCTCGTCAAACACTACATAAAGCTTGGTCTCCAGGAGGTCAACATTCAGTCTTGCTATGCTGCCTTGACACTGGCTGGACGCTGGCATGACGCTGGCTCGACGCTGGTTGGACGCTGGCTTGACGCTGGCTGTGCGCTGGTACTGTGGACGGCGACGCGGGACTGTGGCAGCATGCTGGCGCCTTCTCTGCTGAGCGCCAGCCTCTGCTGATGTGGTGGATGCCACCTGTCTATGTTGCTGATGCGGCGCATGCCACCTGTTTACATTGCTGGCCATCTGTCTTCATTGCTGATGTGGCGCATGTCACCTGTCTCTATGCTGACGTGGCACTGGCCACGCTGTCTACATGTCGCATACTGTAATGGTGCGGACCAGAACAGGAACCAACCTCTCTCACGAAGTACAAGATAACACAGCGGAAGGCTTAAATACCAATGATCCAAACAATCAATGTTGCCATGCAGACGAAACATACATCATCATCATTCCATGGTGTGAACGGGCATGGCGTTCACACAGGAAGAATGCGCCAGTCCCCAACTATACACAGACGAAGAAGAGGGGAGGATGGGAATGTCATCAACACCAAGTCTTTGGTACATTTCCAAATAATCCCTCGTCAAACGTCTGAATCCCAATGTTGAGTCTGGATCCAAATGTCGTCAAATCCCAAAGTGACCAATCTCTCTCTTTCTCTCTCTCTCTCTCTCTCTCTCTTGTAGTCTGCAGATACTGAGAAGTCAGGTAGTGAGAAGGTGAGAAAGAGATGGACTTAGAAGAGGAAGAAGAAGAACTCTCTCTCTCTCTCTCTC